AACTTTAGATCCAGGCCTGGCTTCTTATCTGCTCCATATCTTGGTTTAGGGAAATTACTTGGTTGTTCAAACAGGACAATGTGCTCTTATCATGAACTCTCTGGTTGAGTCTCTAGGAATTCAGTAGATAAAACCCAAACTCCTGACTCCTTTTTTTTTTTATCTCACTTCATTTCTGGGGGAGCTAATAAAGATAATAGGTCATCTTGTTTCCTCTGGTGATAAAAACCATTGGAATTCTTGGCATTAGGCTCAGGGAATCAAATTAAAGAAGGCTTTAATGTGCACCTTGAAGCATATTTAATGCTTGACATTTATTCTATGATCACAGTTATGGTAGCGACTCTGTCCCATAAATTATTTAATACACTAGTGTATAAAGTGATTTGCTCACCATGTAGGTAAGGAAATGGGACTCTCTCTCTCTCTCTCTCTCTCTCTCTCTCTCTCTCTCTTTCTCTCTCTCAAACACACACTCCTATTATAGCTAAAAAAATAGGTCTGGAAAATTTCAGGCTACAAAATCAATACATAAAAGCAGTTAAATTTCTACTTACTAAGCATGAACAATCTGAAAATTAAATGATCTCATTTTTGACAGCATTAGAAAGAATAAAATATTAGCCAGTTGTAGAAATAAGTTTAAATGAGGAGGTAAGAGGCTAGTACACTGAAAATACAAGAAAAATGAGATGCATTTAACGAGACAAGAGTAAATAAAAATGCATTCATGACCAAATATTGAAGGCAATGCTGTTCAAACAGGAGTATTATCAAAAGTAACCTTCAGATTCAGCAAAGCTTGATACTTCCCATCAATGCCTTGAAGGTATCCACCACAGACATTTAAAAGTCTGTCCTAAAATTCTTACATCTTATGTCTTATGGGAAGGACCAGGAGTATACAAAACAGTCTTGGGGCAAGGACTGTATTGAAAGACTTAGTTTCCTGATTTCAAAACTGGCTATAAACCAATAAGAATGAAACCACCTCTTTTAAAGAGAAAGAAAAGCAATATGGCACCCGCTGACATAGAACAGTAAGGGCAAAGAGCAGCCATCCAGGCGTGACTGGCTGAGGCTGACAAGTGTCAAGGCGACTCAGTGAGGACAGACATCTTACAGGGAGCGCACTGCTTCTGGAAGTTGTGCTAGACAACATGACTATTTTAACAGGGACTTCCAGTCGCTGGCCACGATACACCTGGTTCTGGGGAAGCTGGCCGCTCACAAGAAGATAAAGAAAATATACCTCTGCTGTGTACCACGTACAAAAGTCAGCCAAAAGGAGCAGAGACATAAATATTCAGTGTAAGACAGAAATGTCTCAAGAGCACGGGAAGCGTTCTGACGGCACGGCCTTTGGCAAAATTCCTCAGATGTGACGTTCAAGGCCCAACTGTAAGAAAAGGCAATGGCTTTAAGCAAAACTTAAAATTTTCACGCATTGAGCCAGGTAGAGTGGCGTACACGCCTTTGATCTCAGCAATTGGAAGGCAGAGAGACAGATCTCTGAGTTTAAGGTTAGCCTGGTCTTCAAAGTGAGTTCCAGGACAACCACAGCTGAAGAGAAACCCTGTCTCTAGAAAAAAAAAATCATGCATGCATGAAAGGATGTTTACAAAAGTAAAAAAGACAAATTAAATGAGAGACTGTGGAAGACACATTGGATGTTTTTGTAACATGGAGGCGCCTGCTTGTGGGGTTTTCCGTCCTGCCCAGTTCCCCACAGCTGTTTAGCCCCAAAGAAAATCACACAGAGGTCTCCATAAGTTGTAAACTGAGTGGCCCATTAGCTCAGGCTTCTTGTTAACTCTTGTAGGTTATATTAACCCATTGTTCTTATCTACGTTAGCCACACGACTCAGTACCTTTCTCAGCTGGCAGATCACATTCTGCTGCTTTGAAGATCTCAGCAGGAGTGGCAGGAATCAGCTTCCTCCTTCCCAGAATTCTCCTGTTCTCATTGCATCATTTCTACTTCCTGTCTGGTTTTCCCGCCTATACCTCCTGTCTGGTCAACCAGCATTTATTTAAAACATGGTTGACAGAATACAGACAATTCTCCCGCACTATGTTTTCATGATAAGATACAGGACAGGAGCTACTTAAAGAACCAGAGGTTAATTCTGACTCTTGTTTCAGTTTCAAGCATGGTGCAGAAGGCACAGAGGAAGAACTGAGCTTTCTGTGGTGGGGACCTATAGTAGACACTGTTCATTGCAGAGTGAGTCAGGGATCCCAGAACAAAACAGGAACCAAGGGCAGAGTGAAACCTTCAGAATCCCACCCCTCCTGACCCATTTTGGTCCGCTAGGTCCTACTTCAGAAAATTTCCAAAGCTTCCAAAAAGGCACTAACTGCAAAGGCCACATCCTCAAAACATGGTACCTTTCACAGCAAAATCATATGGAAGAATTTATAATGCCGACATCTGATATGAGATGATCGAAATTTTGAATACTAGAGACCAACATTTAGAAAGCAACAACGAAAGACATCCAATTAAAAACTGAGTATAAGATTTGAATAGACTTTTCTCCCGAGAAGTTAGGCAAATGTCCAGTAACATAAATCTGTGTTGAACCTCACTAGACTTTGAGGAGATAAATATTAAAGCAGCAATTGAATGTTTCTTCAGAGTCATTTTGAGTGGTTCCTTTATGACCGAGGAAGAAAGAAGAGAAAATGGTTAAAGAGAGAGAAGAATCCAAATATAGACAATGTTGACTGTTTGCTTGAGGTTCTGTTTCTTTATTACAGTGTTAATGTTAAAATCCTTGTGTGCCCTTCCCATGTGTTGTATCTCAGTCTTCTCGATGTTTGTTTTCACTGACTTCCACCACTCTATTTACCATGGCCTGCAGCTCATTTAGACTTCCAGCAAGCAGAGCCCTATTATTTCAGCAAGCAGAAACACAAATTATTGATTCTCACATCACTTATCTGCACACCTCTCCTCATAATTCCAGGGATATAGTAGAGAGTAGCGGTGAGAGGAAGCACCCCTGCAACACGGCTGCAATTGTCTTAAACTCATCACTTAGTTCTCCGCAGACTTTGCAAAGGTACCTTTATTGTCACTTTCTAGTATTCTTATGATTTTCTCTGGGTACCTGTAGAACCTCATTGTTTCCCAAAGTCCTTTTCTCCAAACGCTATTGAATGCCTTCCTGAGGTTGATGTAACAGACATATAAGTCTTTTCCAAATTCTTCGTATTTTTCTACCAGTTGTCTCAAAGTGAGGATCTGATCAATTGTGCTCCTGTTGGCTCTGAATCTGTATTGAACCTCTGGTAGGATTTCCTCTGTTCTGCCCTTGATCCTTTGCAGGATATTGGAGCAGAAGATCTTGCTGCTATAGCACAACAAACTAATGCCCCTGTAATTTAAGCGGTCCAGCTTGTTCTTCTTGAGTATGAGAATTATGACTGAGGGCTTCCATTCCATGGAAATCACTTTGTGATCTCGTAGCTGTCTGAAGAGTCTGAGAAGCACCTCAGCCCCCGAGCCTACTGTAGCTGCTTTCAGCTCCTCCACCGTGTTGTCAATCTGGGAGGAAACCTCAGTTCAAAGGAGGGAGCTATTTCAGTCGTCAAGAGGCAGATAGGGTTAGCAAGGGCTGTATTCCAGGCACTAGGAAACATTTGGTCATCAAGAGATATAACAACAACAACAACAATAAAATTACAAGTCTATGAGACCCTTGTCTTGAGCTGCCTTCTTTGAGCTCCGAAACCTGGACAACTGAATGCTCCTCAGAACAGCAACAGAATGTGTTTGAGATGGCTTGTCTCAGGAGGATTCTAGGGTCACACAAAGAGACAGACTGTGCAAGGACGACATTAAGAAACAGCTCCATCTACAGAAGGAAGCAAACAGGATACAGCAATAGCACTTGAGATACTTTAGCCATGTTATGAGAATAAATGACGGCAGATACCTGAAAATACCACTGCTTGGAGGAGTGCACGGGATAAGACAAAGAGGAAGGCCCCCAAAACACAGGACAGACAGCATAAAGGAAGACTGTGGGACCTTGGGTATGACAATAACAAAGGCACGTAGGACTGACCAGGATAGGAACGACTGGAAAACCGCCATAAACGGACTGTCCGTGCTTGCTTGAGCATTGCCAGGGCATAAATGATGATGATGATGACGATGATGATGATGATGATGATGATAAGATCCAAAAGCCCATCACTAGATGATGAACAAACATAATATAGCACATCTCTAAACCGGGGGTTTACTCAACCTTGAAAAATGAATGGAATTCTGAGTGGCATTGGAATGGAATTTTGTGGCACATACCTGTAATTCCAGGAGTCTGAAAGATAGAGGTAAGATCACCTTAAGACAGAGGGTTGACTATGCAGGAAGATAGAGGACTACACAGGAAGACCCGGTCTTAAAAGAGTACCAAAGCTGAGGATGCAGCTCAGTAGTAGGTCACATGTTGGTAATGTACAGGGTTTGATTCCTAGCAATGGAAATTGTGTGTGTGTGTGTGTGTGTGTGTGTGTGTGTGTGTGTGGCCTTCATTTGTTGTGGTGGCTGCACTAACTCTTCTGTAGAAAGCCCAGATCATTATTCACACCTGAAATCATACTAGTACATAAATGATTCTTTCCATATTAATTTCAAATCTGTATAGTTGATATTTAATTACGTGGTTCATTTAAACTGTTGACATGATAACAGTATATTCTGATGATACTACAAAATGGTGACTCTTGAAACAACCAGACTCACTGACATCAATGTAAAAACACAAGTACCCTTTGGTTTTATTTATATAATATACCTAGAATGGTAAAATTCATAGACTGCCAGGAGATGGAGACTTAAGTGTCTCAGTGCCTTGTCTCTGCCTGAGATGATGTGAAGGTTTCAGAAGCAGGAAAGGCTCAGGGTTGTGCAAAGCTCATGAACCACTGAATTGTGCCTTTCAAAACCCCTGACATGGTAAATATATATTTGCATATAATGCAAAATGCTTCCAAAGCGAGCACATATGCTAAAATTGAAATGATACAGAGAAGATTAGCATGGCCCCTGCGCAAGGACGACATGCAAATTCATGAAGCGTTCCATATTTTTACTGAGATTGGTATGTAAAATGAAAGGAGATAGTTTGCTTTCTTGTTTAAAAGAGGAAAAGAAATTATTAAAACTATAAAATATATTGTATCTTATTAATAAAGCATATTAAATGTAAATATATAAAAATTATACTATACAAAAATATATCATATATTTTCACAACAGAAAACAAAGAACAGATTATTTTCAGAAGGCAGGGGAGGGGCTTATTGCCATAGTTTGTCTTAATGACAAACATGAACAAAAGATGAGATCATAAACACAAATTATTTTGTGCTCTAAATTACTGAGACCCAATTTCAGAAATAACAGTTTCCAAGTACTGACATAGAAATTTGAACTTTCTATTTTATTAAATTTACCAAGCAAATTTTTTTTTAATTTTGATATAGAAATGTAAGACAGAAACTTTTAAAAGTCATGAGTAGCATATAACTAACTACATGTTGAAGCCACATCTTATTTAAAGATATCACTTTAAAGGCAATTGTATGATTGAGGCATTCATATTTGCTTTTCAACTGGGTAAGTAACAATTGCCACTGGAATAAATTCTTTATTCTTGGATAATAAAATGCCCAAGGTTTTATATTCTTATGCGTCTTTAAAATTTTCTTTTCAAAAGATCAGTTAACTCACCTGAAGATTACATCTCTAGTCTTTGTATTTTTAAAAAAAATCATCCACTACTTCCTGTCAGAGACATTAGTGGGTTTGGCTGGTTCCCAGGACCTCTGCCAGGCTTTCATCTTCAGAAGCACAATTGTTTCCTGTACGGGTTAACTCAGAACCAAAAAACTTGCTCCGCCACTGATGTGGAGCGGAAATGTTGCATAGTTGACACATGCCTATTGGCTGAAGACGTGAGCAGCCTTGCAGCATCTCACACATGAAAGTGCCTGGCGCTCCCTTTACAAAGCACACACTGCCAGAAAGAATTCTGCATACACAATTAGTTTTATTTTCGTCTCTGATGTTGCTTTCATTGACATGTGTGGTCCTCTCTGTTCTTCAATTTTAGAATATTTGTATTCTGCACTCCAGAGAAAACTCACAGGGAGACGCCCGCATCCAGTGTCTGCTGTCTCCCTCACCTGCTTCTCTGTAGAGACTTAAAAAACAGCACCAAAAGCCACGCTCTTTCTGGGGATGTCACTGAACTCCCACCGACAACAGATACCATCAAGAAAATATTAATTCTTTCCCTGACTTGATAATATGTTTCTCAAGTTGGCATCTCACGTCAGACTCTGAAAATCATTCGACACCATGGGTGTCGGGTTAGCGCACACACTGCTGCACCCCGAATTGTCCTTTGTGTTCATTTGTTGTGGTGACAGCCTAAGTCCCCCCCGGAGAGAGTACGGATCACTACTCGCAGCGGAAAGTCGTAATACTGTAGGAATGATTTGCTTTCGTATTAATTTTGAATCTTTATAATCAATGCCTGCCCAGTTGTATGACTTGTTTAAATTGTTAATATGCTTCCAGATACAACTATAATGACATTACTTAGCCTTGAAGATTAATTGTTGGGATCCAGAACATTCCCTTTACTAGGACTTCCAGGGAGTTAGGTCAAACTCCACATTGTGAATCTGTATAAAGAGGCAGGGCATGAAATTTGGACGTCAAATTTTGAAAATCAAGTATAAATATTAATTTACTTATGAAACTAACTTAAATATTAACATTGCACCAAATTGCCTTCCGTGTGGTGCCTGTAGAGTGAGAAGAGCCCTCCAGACTCCCAGGAACTGGAGTTATGGGCAGCTACAAGTCACTACAATGGTACTGGGAGTGCTGGGAGTTGAGCCTGGGTCCACGGTACGAGCAACTGTTCACCACTAAGTCATCTCCCAGGCCCCTGATTTTTTCTTATGCTACTAAAACTTTCTTATTGGAACTTCAAATGATCAAAGGCAGTGTTATAAACTCAGGACAAAAAAAAAAGGCTTGGATTAAAAATACATGCGATGTCATAGCTGTCTTTAAAGGCCATTTTTCATCTGTGTTTCTTTTCTTTAAGCTGCTTAAAAAAATAGCTTGAATAAACTCAAGGAGATAAAAGGGAAAACAGCGGTTTTACTTGCTCTAGTCTTGCCTAAGGCAAATATAGTCTGTGCCTTTATCATTTCCCCTAAATAGTCCTGAGCGAACCTAAGCCCTGTTAAACTCAAGGAAGCCGACTGGTAGGATCTGAAGCTTGAACCCAGGATGTCCAGAGTTGGCCAAAGCACATGGCGATATTGTTCTTCCAAGGAAGCAGAGTGCTTTACGCACCAGGGACAGAATGGGAAATGTGCTTTTAACACCTGTCCCCAGTCTCAGACCCAGAATGGCTAAAATCCTTGGGAGCTTTTGAGTGGGCGTGGCTGAGATGGTCCAGTGGGTAGAAGCGCTTGATGCCAAGCCTGAAGACGTGAGGTTGAGGCCTGGAACGCACGGAGTGGAAGGAGAGAAGCAGCGAGTTGTTCTCCGGCCTCCACGTGCACACACACGCCTACATGATCAATGTAGTTCCCCTTTAGGGAAGAATCTCTGCAGTGGTGAGGTGAAAAACAAAGCACCTGCTATTTACCCATAATAAAATGTTTCTAATTATATCTGAGTTTATGCTAATGAAGTAGCTTTGGGAGGCCTGAGGCTGGGTGGTGAAGGAATGGCCATCAGACTAACTTCCTGCCCTTATGGGAGGAGGTGGGTTCTCAAGGTTTACCTAATCACCCTTCACCAATGGTTGAATAGGACCTGTGTAAGGAAGGCCTGTAAAAATGTCCTTTCGAGCAGCTCTGAGCGGGTCAAGGGGCTATAATGGTGGCGCACCAGAGAGGACAGAGGAGCTTAAGGGACTTCCACCCTTCACCCAGTCTAAATGCCTCTCATCCTTTTGGTTCTGACTGTGTTGTATCTTTTATCATAAATTAATAAAAACAACACATCCACTTTTTCTGAGTTTTGAGCCATTTTGGCAAATTAGTCAACTCCAGACAGAACACACACACACACACACACACACACACACACACACACACACACGCACACACATACACACATACACACACACACACACACAACACATGCATCTCCAGTTGGTCAGAATGGTCACCACTTGAGCTCTGCAATTGGTGTGTGAAGTCGGAACATTTTTGTGGTGCAGAACCCTTCATTTGTCGGGCTTATATTTATTGTTGGCCGTTAGTGTCAGAACTACTGAGTAAAATTGTAGGCTATCGGTTGATAGCCGGAGAGATCTGGCCAGTTCTTGATGTGGAAAACTACACACATGGGGTTTAAATCAGTTTGGTTTTGTCAAAACACTCCACTTTTTTACCAGAATGAGACACCTCCCAAGTTATAAACTGTGCTGTTAGGTTTCTTGTGCTGTAGGTTTTATTCAAGTAAGTCAGCAAATGACTCAAAATGCCTTTAGTGAAGAAAAAAAACTTCTTCAGAATGTCGGAAAGTACCACTCCCGTACATGAGTTATTGATAGGGCTGACTTATTCCAATGTCTGAAGATCCCTTCTAAGCTTCTCAAAACCTTTCTCTAATGACAAAGAAGACTCCGAACACATAAACAATAGCAGAAACTGTAATGTGCAGAACAGTAAGGTCTGGGATAATTGAGTTTAATATAAAAGGTTCAGCCTGCCTGTGACTAGGGGTCTTAGTATAATCAATGACAGCTCTGTAAAACTTATTCCTTGCCAGGCACAGCATTCACAGGTGGATTCGCATTCACCATTTGATCTGCGCAGCAAACCAACAAAATTAGGAAAATACTTTCTACTGGTTTTCTTCCTGCTTCACTGAGGTCAGCGGAAGTTAATTTGACTCACGCAGTTGGCACTGGAGACCCTGCCATGTTATCCAGGACACCTGCGCAGGTGGTGCATGGCTGGAGTTAGCAAGGTTTCTGACTCTTAAGCTCTCTGATGGTGCGAAAGCTTGCCTTCTAACCATTTGCCCTCACTTTCAATACATCCACCATGAGCTGCAAGAATACTCAACCCTTGTAAAGTGGGCTCCATGTTAGATGATCTTCCATTTGCTGAGCTAATGGAAGTGGATGAGCTTTCTCAGGCCATGTTGGGCCCATTAGATATGTTAAATGAATTTGCAAAATTAGGATATTTTTTTCAGTGTTCTTTGGGTTTCTTGGAACAGAGTTTCATCACTGGTGGCGTAACACCTGAACTCTCAGTCATTCTGGCACAAGATTTCTTGGTATATCACAGTGTGTGTCTTGAGGGAGGGGTCTACTAGAGAAAGCAGGCAAATGTTTCGAACCTAATGGGGTCCTCTTACTGCAAGACCCATGGCTTGTAATAGTGAAGAGCTGGGAGCCAGGGCTGCTCATCAGATGCTTTCCACGATGAATCATGTTCTCTATCAGCCTGCTTCTGTATGGTGACAACCAGAAAAGGCTGTGGAATCAGAGAGAAAGAAGAGTGGAGAGGGTCTGGAGGCGACCGTGGAACTGTTCCACCTTTACCTGGGCCCAGGAGAAACAGGGAGAGAACAGGAGCCTGTGGACAGAGAGGGAACAAAATCTACCAATGACAAAGGAGGTATTTAGGAGGTGGATGCCGAAGGATTGCATCCAGCCCAGATTGCAGTGAGTTCAAGGCTTGGACTGTAGAGTGGGGTCTTATCTTTCAACAAATAAAGAAAGAAGAGTAAAAGTAAAAGAACGTAGCAGGACAAATCTGACAAACTTTCGTAGAGTGATAGGAAAAAGAATATGAAAAAATAAGACAAAATTATTAACAGGAAATGAGTAGATGTTCTGGCTGGAAATGGAGTAACAGGTTTGAATGAGAGCACATCCACAGCAAGATGGGAATGGTTGAGGGGAACCAGAAAGGGCCAGTGAAGGATCTAGAACCAGCAATGCCAGAGATGATCCAACACACACACACACACACACGCACACATACACACACACACACACACACACACACACACACGTGCGCACACATACATACACACAC